GGATTCCCGCCGCAGCCCGGCCTCCGCCCCGCGCTTCTGCAGCGGGCGCCCCCGCGCCGTCGCGCCCCTGATTTCCGCCTCCGTTAGTAACTGGGGGCTGAGCGAGGGTCCGGATGGCCCCGTAAGAGACGGCCAGTAGGATTCTCAGCCTTCGCTGTTCGGGAAAGAAACAATGCGGGAGGGGTAGGATTTCTTTCCTGGTACGATAGGTGAGGAAAGACAGATGGGAAAAGATGTGTGTCCCTCTTTCGACTTAGGTGTCTCTATTGCTCCATAAATAAAACGTGTCCCTGCCTTCTGCGAGCGCTATAAAGGCAGCGAAACGGCCGTGCCCGGGGCATTCCGGGCGGGACACGAGCTGAGCCGCAACAGGTGAGATCACCACTGAAGGTGTCACCCGCCCGCGCCACCAGCCGGGAGACGTCGCGGGTTGGGGATGGGACTAGCTTGGGGACCCGAGCCGGGCGGGCAGGGGGCAGGACAGCCTTCTTTCTGAGAAGCTGAGAGTGAGAAGAAAACGAGGAAAATAGGCCTGGGGAAGAGATCTGCCCCACCCGCCCAAAGTTATGCCCGCAGGGGAGCTGCGAGCTGCGCCTGGAGCCTGACTGCGGGCGCACAGCCGCGGGACCCGGGAGCGCGGCCTGACCACTGGCCCGGCCGCGCTTCTCTCCCGCGCCCGAGGCCGCGAGCTAGGTCGGTGCGGGGCGGGAGGAGCGCTCACTAGGTCCGCTTCCAGCCCTGCCCTCGCCCCGGGGCGCAGCCCGGGTTTGAGGAGTTTCAGAACGCGGACAGCGCCCTGGCTGCCCCCTGCAGGGGACTGGCTGGGTCGAGCTCCCGAAGCTCCCGACTCGGAGCTCACTCCTTCCAGAGTTGAGGACCCCGGGAAGCGGGTGCGGGCTACCGGACCCGGAGGTCCTCAGGTGCGCGCCCTTGGGCGGGGGGCCCCGAGCGCCCAGGGTGGCTGCGTGGGGTCCGAGCTCTCCAGCATCCGCTGCAACAGGAGGGTCGGGAGGTCCCCTCTCCCTGTTCCTCCCTCTTCACAGTCTCTTCTCCTTCCTCGTCCTCCTGGTCCTCGAAGGTCATGGAAGCGCCGGACCGCAGGTCGGATCCGCCCGGGCTTCCTGAGTACTGCGGCAGCTACGTGGTGTCCAGGCCCGTCTACAGCGAGCTCGCCTTCCAGCAGCGCTACGAGCGGCGCCTGCAGGAGCGCAGGACGCTGCGGGAGCGACTGGCCCAGAGCTGCAGGTAGCGGCTGACGCCTGGGCTTCCGCCACCAGGGGCGGGACTCGGGCTCTCTGGTCCCCGACGCGCCCTTCCTGGTGGGAGGAAGGCTCCGGCGTTCTCCTTCCGAGGTTGACTCTAGTCTTAGAAACTTACCTTTGGGGAGAGTGTGTCCGGGAGTCTTGTCTCTCCTCCTCTTTTGGGGATACCTGGAGTGCTACTTGGGGGTCCAGCGGGCCCCAACTGCCTTCTGGTGAAGGCCAGGCTGAGGAGAACGGGGAAGAAAGGGGCTCCATTACAAAGAGACGCTGGGTAGACTCATCACCTGACCAGGAGGAGTCCTAGAAAGCGCGCGCTCCTCGGGGCAGGACGCCACCCGGACCCCGCGACGGCGGAGCACCCGAGAGCGCCGCGCGCTCCAGGGCCCCGGCTGCCCAGACGGGCCGCAGGAAAGCCTCCATCGGCCTCGAGACACAAACTGGCCGCCTGTTATCAGATGTCACACGCAAAAAGAATTAGAGAACTGGCAACTGCTGCCGTTTTATTTCCTCTTAAAAACCTTTTGTTATAGAACATTTAAAATACACGTAAAAGTAGACATAGTAGTATAATGAACCCCCTCCATGTTTTTACCCGTCACCCAGCTTCAAGGATGATCTACTCAAAGTTATTCTTTCATCTAGTGCCAGCCACTTGCCCCTCCCTCTCTCTCTCTCCCCCTCTCTCTCTCCCTGTCTCTCTCTCCCCCTCCCTCTGAGCAAAAGTAGGTTTACAGTTGTAAGTACGAGAAAAACTGAATTTTTTATTCTTGTATTATTATTTATTAATTATTGTATTATTTTCCATACAAACAACTGTAAACCTAGTTTTTAAAAAAGATATTGCTTTTTATTTTATTTTATTCTTTTAATCTTTATTGTTACAAGTATTACAGATGTCCCTTCTTTTTCCTCCATTGATCCCCTCCACCCCACATCTACCCCACCCCCAGGCCTTCCCCACACTATTGTCTGTGTCCCTGGGTTACACATTTATGCATATAAGTTCTTGGATTAATCTCTTCCCACCCTCTCCCCTACCCCCAACTTCCCTCTGAGATTCCTCAGTCTGCATCTCTCTGGTGATACCGCATTGTGGTTTTAATTTGCATCTCTCTGATTAGTGATTTTGAGAATTTTTTCTTTTGTCTCTTGGTCATCTGTATGTCCTCTTTGGAGAAGTGTCTATTTAGGTCCTTTGCTCATTTTTAAAAAAAAATTATTTTTATTGTAGAAAGAATTACAGATGTCCATTTTTCCCCCCAATTGGCCCCTTCTNGAAAAACCAATCTCTGAGATTTCACATGTGCTTTTCCTTCCACCTGGAATATTCTTTTTTTTTTAAGTTTCTTTTTATTGTTGAGGTTATTATAGATGTCCCCCATTTCCCTCCCCTTTGCCCTACTCTGCCCAGCTCCCACCCTACCCCAGGCCTTCATCACACTATTGTCTGTGTCCCTGGGTTATGCATTTATGCATATAAATTCTTTGGTTAATCTCACGCTTTTATGTCACTGGATCTATTTTGTTCATTGGTTTATTTTGTTCATTAGATTTCACATATAAGTGAGATCGTGTGATATTTGTCTTTCTCTCTCTGGCTTATTTTACTTAGCATAATATTCTCCAGGTTCATCCATGCTGTCCCAAAGGATAAGAGGTCCTTCTTCTTTACAGCTGCATAGTATTCTATGGTGTAAATGTCCCACAGCTTTTTTACCCACTCATCTACTAAGGGGCACTTGGGCTGTTTCCAGATCTTAACTATTGTAAATTGCACTGCTATGAACATAGAGGTGCATATATTCTTTCTGATTAGTGTTTCAGGATTCTTGGGATATATTCCTAGAAGTGGGATCACTGGGTCAAAAGGAAGTTCCATTTTTAGTTTTTTGAGGAACCCCCACACTGTTTTTCATAGTGGTTGCACCAGTCTGCATTCCCACCAGCAGTGTACTAGGGTTCCCCTTTCTCCACATCCTCACCAGCATTTGTCTTTTGTTGATTTGTTGATGGTGGCCATTCTGACAAGTGTGAAGTGATAACTCATTGTGGTTTTAATTTGCATCTCTCTGATGATTAGAAACGTTGAGCATTTTTTCATATGTATCTTGGCCATCTGTATGTCCTCTTTGGAGAAATGTCTATGCAGGTCCTTTGCCCATTTTTTTAATTGGATTGTCTTCCTCTTGTTGAGTTGTAGGAGTTCTTTGTATATTTTGGAAATTAGCCCCTTATCAGATGTATCCTTAGCAAATATGTTCCTCCATACTGTGGGGTTCCTTTGTATTTTGAGGATGATTTCTTTTGCTGTGCAGAAGCTTTTTAGTTTGATGTAATCCCATTTATTTTTTTCCTTTGTTTTTCTTGCCCTAGGACATGTATTGGTGAAAATTCCACTACCTGAGATGTCTGTTACTTTACTGCCTATGCTTTCTTCCAGGATTTTATGGTTTTGTGAATTACATTTAAGTCTTTTATCCATTTTAAAATTATTCTTGTGTATGGTGTAAGTTGGTGGTCCAGTTTCTTTCTTTTTTTTTTTTTTGCATATACCTGTCCAATTTTCCCAACACCACTTATTGAAGAGACTGTCTTTACTCTATAGTATGCTCTTGCCTCCTTCGTCAAATGTTAATTGACCACAATGGTGTGGGTCAATTTCTGGGGTCTCTGTTCTGTTCCACTGATCTATATGCCTGTTGTACCAATAGCAGACTATTTTGATTACAATGGCTTTGTAGTATAGTCTGATACCCAGTAAAGTGATCCACCCAACTCTGTTCTTTCTCAAGATTGAGGTGGCTATTTGGGGTCATTTTTGGTTCCATATGCATTTTTGGAATACAGTGGTTCCTTGGTTTCCTAATGCAATCCATTCCAGAAGATCGTTTGAGTTCTGAAATGTTCGAAAACCGAGGAATCAACAGCCGACAGTTAGGCCTCAGGATCTTGCACTCAGAGGAAGCCGTGTGGCATGTTGGACTTATCAGGTGTGTTCAAAAACTGAAGCATTTACTTCTGGGTTTACGGTATTCGTAAACCAAAATGTTCCTCAACGGAGATATTTGAAAACTGAGGTACCACTGTATTCGTTCTAATTCTGTGAAATATGCTGTTGGTACTTTAATAGGAATTGCGTTGAATCTATAGATTGCTTTGGGTAGTATGGACATTTTAATGATGTTAATTCATCCAATCTATGACATGGCATATTTTTCCACTTGTTTATATCTTCCTTTATTTCTTTTTTCAGTGTGCTGTAGTTTTCTGAGTACAGGTCTTTTACATCTTTGGTTAAGTTTATTCCCAGGTATCTTATTTTTTTAGTTGCAATCATAAATGATATTGTTCTTTCAGTTTTTCTTTCTGAGAGTTCATTATTGGTGTATAAAGATGCCATTGATTTTCAGATGTTAATTTTATACACCGCTACCTTGCTGAATTCATTTATTAAATGTAGTAGCTTTTTGGTGGAGTCTTTAGGGTTTTCTATGCATAGTATCATGCCATCTGCAAATAATGACAGTTTTTCTTCCTCCTTTCCAATTTGGATGCCTTTTATCTTTTATTCTTGTCTGATCACTGTGGCTAGGACTTCCAATACTATGTTGAATAAGAGTGGTGAAAGTGGACACACTTGTCTTGGTCCTGGTCTTAGGGGCAATGTTTTTAGTTTTTGCCCATTGAGGATGATGTTGGCTGTAGGTTTGTCATATATGGCCTTTATTAGGTTGAGGTATAATCTCTCTATTCCCACTTTGCTGAGAGATTTTATCAAAAATGGGTATTGGATTTTGTTGAATGCTTTTTCTGTACCTATTGATATGATAGTGTGATTTTTGTCTTTCAATTTGTTTATGTGATGTACCACATTTATTGATTAGCGAATATTGTACCAGCCTTGCATCCCTGGAATAAATCTCACTTGGTCATGGTGTATGATCTTTTTAATATATTGCTGGATCCGATTTACTAGTATTTTGTTGAGGATTTTAGCATCTATGTTCATCAGGGATATTGGCCTGTAATTCTTTCTTTGTAGTGCTTTTACCTGGTTTTGGAATTAGGCTAATGCTGGCCTCTTAAAAAGAGCTTGGAAGTGTTCCTTCCTCTTGGGTTCTTTGGAATAGTTTGAGGAGGATAGCTGTTAGTTCTTTGAATGTTTGGTAAAACTCCCCTGTGAAGCCATCTGAGCCAGGGCTTTTGTGTGCTGGGAGTTTTTTGATCACTGCTTCAACTTCATTAGTAGTTATTGGCCTATTCAGGTTTTCTGACTCTTCCTAAGTGAGGTTTGGCTGGTTATATTTTTCTAGGAATTTGTCCATTTCATCCAGGTTGTCCAGCTTGGTGGCATATAGTTGTTCATGGTATTTTCTTATAATCCTTTGTATTTTTGTTGGGTCAGTTGTTACTTCAACTCTTTTGTTTCTGATTTTGTTTATTTGGGTCCTCTCTCTTTGTTTCTTGATGAGTCTGGCTAAAGGTTCGTCAATCATGTTTTTCTTTTCAAAAAACCAGCTCTTGGTTTCATTGATCTTTCGTATGTTTTTTTCAGCCTCTATGTTATTTATGTTCACTCTGATCTTTACTATTTCCTTCCTTCTACTTACTCTGGGCTTTCCTGGTTGTTCTCTTTCTAAGTCTTTAAGTTGTAGGGTTAGATAATTTATTTGAAGTTTTTCTTGTTTTTTGAGACAGGCCTGTAGTGCTATGAACTTCCCTCTCAGGACTGCTTTCATTGTGTCCCATAGATTTGGGGTTGTTGTGTGTTCATTTTCATTTGTTTCCAGGACATTTTTGATTTCTTCCTTGATTTCTTTGGTAACCCATTCATCGTTTAAAAACATGCTTTTTAGCCTTCATGTGTTTGAATGTTTTTTAGTGTTGTAGTTAATTTTTACTTTCATGCCACTGTGATCCAAGAAGATGCTTGATATGATTTCAGTCTTCTTGAACTTGTAGAGGCTTGTTTTGTGTCCTCACATGTGGTCTATCTTTGAGAATGTCTCATGTGCACTTGAGAAGAATGTATATTCTGCAGCTTTGGGGTGGAATGTTCTGTAAATGTCAATTAAATCCATCTGATCTAGTGTGTCATTTGGGGTCACTGTTTCCTTGTTGATTTTTTTTGGGTCTGGAAGACCTATCCAGAGAAGTCTGTGGGGTGTTAAATTCCTCTACTATGACAGTATTACTGTCGGTGCTGCTATACTGGGTGCATATATGTTTATCTTGTTGGATTGATCCCTTTAGTATTATGTAGTGACCTTTCTTGTGTCCCGTTATGGTCTTCATTTTGAAGTCTATTTTGTCAGGTATGAGTATTGCTACCCCAGCTGTTTTTTTTGCAGGGAAATATTTTTTTTTTATCCCTTCACTGTCATCCTGTGTGAGTCTTTTGTCCTGAGGTGGGTCTTTTGTAGACACCATATATTTGAGTCATGTTTTCTTATACACTCAGCTACCCTTTTGATTGGAGCATTTAATCATTTACACTTAAGATTATTATTGATAGGTACTTATCTATTGCCTTTTTAATTTTTTATGCCTAATTTTTTCTATTGGTACTTCTTATTACAACAGTCCTTTTAACATTTCTTTCAATGCTGGTTTGGTGGTGATAAATGCCTTTAGCCTTTTTTTTCTTTTTCTTTTTTTGTCTGGAAAGCTATTTATTTCATCATCTATTTTGAATGATAGCCTTGCTGGATAGAGTAGTCTTGGTTTCACATCCTTGCTTTTCATGATTTTGAATACTTCATGCCATTCATTTCTGGCCTGTAGAGTTTCTGATGAGAAATCAGCTGACAGCCTTATGGGAGCTCTTTGTAGGTAACAGATTACTTTTCTCTTGTTGCCTTTAAGATTCTCTGTTTGTGTTGAATTTCTGGCATTTTAATTATGATGTGTCTGGGCATGGGCCTCTTTGGGTTATTCTTGCTTGGGACTTTCTGTGCCTCCTGAACTTGTGTGACTTTTTCCTTCACTGGGTCAATTAAATCCATCTGATCTAGTGTGTCATTTAGGGTCACTGTTTCCTTGTTGATTTTTTTTTGGTCTGGAAGACCTATCCAGAGAAGTCTGTGGGGTGTTAAATTCCCCTACTATGATAGTATTACTGTCGGTGCTGCTATACTAGGGAAATTTTCTGTCATTTTTTCTTCAAACAGGTTCTCTAACCCTTGTTTACTTTCTACCTCTTCTGGCACTCCTATGATGTGAATAGTTACATTTCATGTTATCCCACAGCTCTCTTAAACTGTCCTCTTGATTTTGAATTGTGTTTTCTTTTTGGATCTCTGATTGAGTGATTTTTGTCTACTCTGTCTTCTAATTTGCTGATCCCATCCTCAGCTTTCTCTAATCTGCTATTTATTCTTTCCAATGTATTCTTTATTTCTGCTATGTCATTCTTGATTTCCTTCATAGTTTCCATATCTTTTCTCAGCATCCTTACAATCAGTATTCTCAACTCTATATCTGATAGATTTTATCTTTATTTCATTTAGCTCTTCTTCTGGAGAACTCTCTTGTTCTTTCATGTGGGGCTTGTTTTATTGTATCCCCATTTTGTCTGGCTATTTGGGTTTGTTTCTATGTATTAGCTAGATCTGCTAGGACTCTTAGTTTTTTTGGAGGATCTCTGGTGCAGGCCAATGTCAGATGCTGTTTGTGACTGGCCTTGAGTACCCTGTTTGGGACTATCAACAACCCATTGCTTGTGGTTCTCTCTGCTGGGTCTGGGTGCATTTGGACATGACCAAGATGCACACCAAAGTCTGCTTTCCCAAGGCCCACTGTAAACCTACTTTTGCTCCACTCTGCACACACACACACACACACACACACACATATGAATATATGTATATATGTATATGTATATATCATATGTCTCCAGGGATTCTTAAAAATATAATCACAATTCCATTATCAGGAGTCAAATAATGTTCACTTACTGTTAATATTTTTTTTCTTTTTACTGTTGGTTGTTGAGTTTAAAAAATACTAAGTAACAAGGTACAGAAAGGTGTGCATTTATATGCTAAGAGTTTTTAAAAACTGGTCCCAAGTTTATATTGCCAAAATATACAGAGCATGTTTATTTTTCTTAAAAGAGAAAGAGAAGTAGAAGAAGGTTCCTGCTGGTAGAAATCTGAAAATTAATCTCTATTTAGAGACTCCACATTGATCAATTTATGGCTGGACCAGAAAATGGGTTCTTTTGTAGGGATATTTTCTCAGAGGATTAAGAAAGTGGGGACTGGGTGACTTAATCCTGTGTTTTCTAGCACAGTGTATTTTAAAGGGTAGATAGAGCTCTTGGCAAAAGCATGTAAAGTACTTTAGTGTTGATATTTGCAATTCTCACTCTTTTTTAAAAAGTTGTGAACATAGAAAACATGCAGAGTTCAGTACAAAGGTTTGTGATTACTTGTGGCTGATATTAGAATGGAAACTCAGTTTTCTTGCTTTTTGGCAGTTGTTCAAGAAAGAGAGCCCTTGGTGTGCTGAAGAGTCTCTTGCCCATCTTGGACTGGCTTCCCAAATACCGAGTCAAGGAATGGCTGCTTAGTGACATCATTTCAGGAGTTAGCACTGGGCTAGTAGGTACACTGCAAGGTAAGGTGTTGGTGGACTGGCTCAGAGTGATTGTGAATGAGTCTCCAGAAGCAGTTCATAACTTCCCATGAGTCTGCACCACATGCTTGCTCACCCTTGAAAGCCTGATCTTTGCTCTAGAGTCTCTTAGTGGAAAAAGTTGCCTCTTTCCACCTCCTCTTCCTTAGAGTTCTCTTTCTTGGAAACTGTGCTATTTCTCTAGCTGCATGGCTCCTAAGCAGTGGCTTCCCAACTTTTATTGACCATAATTCATAGTAAGAAATATGTATTACATCACAGTCTGTACACATATAGCTCATTTTGTTAAATAATATTTACCTCACTACAAGTGATACATTCCATTTTCTATTGTTTTATTTTATTATGCTTATATATTTTTTAAATGATAATTGCAGCCCATTAAGTTACTTTACATCTCACACATGATCTTGACCTGCCCTTTGAAACTAGCTTAAGGGAAAGTGGAGGAAGTATTTTAGCCTGAACTACACATAATTGTTTTTTCTGTTCCCCTCCCTCCTCCTTTTTAATCCATCCCCTTATTTTAATCTCTGGCAAAATGTTCCAACATAGGTGGTTATTACTTTTTTTAAAACTAGCTTGATATCACGTTTCCATTAGCATCTTGGTAATCTGTTGCCTAGTTGATTAACAACATTCTCCTTTGTCCCTCACCCTTATCACCTTGTTTCTGCCCTTCCCAACTCAAAAAAGCCCCTGGATCATGAAAACAGAAATCTCACTTATTTATTATAATTTTATGGAACATCTAGTATGTACCAGGCACTAGGTATGCTGACATGAATAAAATACACCACTTGCTTTCAAGGAGCTCATAGTTCAGTGGGGAAATAGATAACAGTTGGATATAAAGGCTGTGGTAGGGGTAACATTGCCTGCTAAGGGAGTGCACACAGGTGCACTCAACCCAGCCTTAGGGGATTGGGAATAGCTTTCTGTGGGTTGAGTTGTCAAAGCCGAGTTTCCCTAAAGTTTAAGTCTGAGTTTGCCAAGTAAGGGAAATAGGGTAGGGTGGGGATGTATGTAGAAAGATGGCTTGGTAATAGATTATTTCAGCAATTAGTAATAGCTATTGAACAATTCATGAGCCAAAATTTGCTTGTGAAGCTCTCAAGTTACTCAGTGCAGGCCAGGTAGATTCCCACAGAGAAGGAGGATGTTTTGTGGTCTCAGTGTGACGTCTCAGCCTGGTCAACCATGTTTTTTTGTTCTTGTTTTTTTTAATTAACTTGAGAGAGAGTGAGAGTAAGAATAAGAGAGAGAGAGATTGAGGGAGAGAGAGCGATTGAGAGAGAGGGACCTCAATTTGTTGTTCCACTTATTTATGCATTCATTGGTTGATTCTTTTTTTAATTGATTTTTAGAGAGAGAAGAAGAGAGAGGGAGAGAGAAAGAGAAACATTGATGTGAGAGCGGAGCATTGATGGGCTGCCTCTTGCATGCCCCCTACCAGGAATCGAACCCACAACTCAGGCATGTGTTCTGACCAGGAATTGAACCGGCAACCTTTCAGAGCTCGGGATGATACCCAACCAACTAAGTTACACTGGCGAGGGTATTGGTTGATTCTCGTATGTGCCCTGACTGGGGATAGAATCCACAATCTTGGCTTATCAGGATAATGCTCTAGCCAACTGAGCTACCCAGTCAGGCCTGCTCCACCACGTTTTAAATCACAGAGGTGGATGGGAGCTTCTGATGGGGCTGTGCACTTCCTAAGTTAAACAAAGACAAGTCCTTGTGTGCACAGTGGAAGCTCATAGCTGTGATATGGCAACACCCTGTGACTCCTGGGGGATAGAAAGCATCAAATCCATGTTTGTTTAGTTAGTGCCTAGCACAGAGACTGGCACAAAATAGATGGTGCCAAAAACATTTAGTGAAGAGGATTGAATTGTATTCCTGATAATGAATCATCTTTATGTATGAAAAATGGTATTTCAAGTTTGGTTTCTCCCAAGTTTTCATAGACAACTACCTTATAAGAATTAATTTTAACTTTAGCTTTATCTATTAACTGTCAGACACTATGCTAAGGGCTTCGGGCAGTTATCTTAATCAGTCCTCACAACAATTATTATTAACTCCTTTTTTTTATTATTGATTTGAGAGAGAGAGAGAGAGAGAGAGAGAAGCATTAATGATGAGAAAGAGTCATTGATTGGCTGCCTCCCGCACAGCCCCCATTTTTTTCATTAAAATTTTTTTTATTTTTAATAAAATTTTTATTTATTGATTTTAGAGATTAAGAGGAAAAGAGAGAGAAATATTGATTTGTTTTTCCACTTATTTATGCATTCATTGGTTGCATCTTTTTTTCAAGAATAGCTTATTGATTTTTAGAGAGAGGGAGAGGAAGGGAGAGGAAGAGAGAGAAAAACATCGATGTGAGAATGTAACATTTATTGGCTGCCTCCTACACGCCCCCTGCCAGGGATGGAGCCCAAAACCCGGGCATATGCCTTGTCTGGGAATTGAACCAGCCTCCTTTTGGTGCGCCTGATTATGCCCAACCAACTGAGCAACATGGGCCAAGGCTTAACTTCTTTTTAATAGATGAGATCTCTATTAAATCTTCCCCAAGATCATGGAGCTGATAGGTGATAGAGTTCAGATTTGAACCTGGACTCTAATTGCTAAGATATTAATCTGTACACTGTACAGTTCCTTAATTTATAATAATTTGTTTTCCAGAAACATTATCTCTGTAAACTTATCTCTGTAAGGTGAATTTCTGAGAAGTTAACCTGATTAATTCATTTATCATTCATTTACTTAATAACCCTTATAGAACAATTCTGTATGCCAAATGTTCAGCCATAGGGATTCAGTGGTTTATTGACAGGCACAGGTACTGGCCCCCTGGAGCTCATTTCCAGTGGTAGGCAGGGGAAATAAATTAAAAAATAGATAAATATTACAGAGTGTGGTGGATTAAATATGCTATAATAGGGGAGAGAGTATATTTTAGAATGGTCAAGAAAGGCTTTACTGGAGGAGGGGGTGAAATTTAATCAGAGACTAGAGGATGAGAAGGAGTAACCATGTACTGACCAGAAAGGAGTGTATCAGGCAAAGGAGCAAATGCCTTGAGGCCAAAGGAGTTTAGTATTTTCAAGGGAGGAAAGGAAAGAATTCTGGTGCAGGTGGAGTTCAATGAGGGGAGAGTGGGTAACAGAATGAGATAAGGTTAGGCAGGACCGAGATCAGAATGAGGCAAGTGAAGCGTTCAGTCTCAGGGCCCTCCTTAAATATTGCGTCCCAGGCACCTCACTCTCATCTCATCCCTGAGGGTAAGTTTGGCAGCTTAGATCAGGTCGAGCAGGAGATGGAGAGAGCAGCACAAATCTGATATATGTTTTGGAAAAAGAATCACTGAAATACACTGATGGATTGCATGTAGATGACAATCACAGATGCTCCCAAGGTTGCTGGCTTGAACAAGTGGGTAGATGGTTATGTCATTTATTAAAATGGCAAACATAGGCTGAGGTTTTGGATGGAAAACCAAGTTTTCTTTTGGACATGCTAAGTTTCAAATGCATGTGAGACAACTAAGCAGAGATGCCAAATACAGAGTTGGAACTACAAGTATGAAGGGCAGAGGAGAGGGCTGGGTTAGGCATAAAAAACAGGAAAACATCACTCTAGGGGTGATATTTAAAAGAGTGGGAGTGCCTTAGACTACCCAGGGAGAAAGAACAGATGGGAAGAAAAGACCTCTGAAGTACTTAGAGGTCAGGAAGGTGAGGAGGGAGTCATAAAGAAACATGAGGAGATTGGGCCCAGGAAGTTAGAGAAAAAGAACAATTGGAGGAATATGGGATCAGAAGCCAAGAGAATAGGTTTGTTTAAAAAAGGAGAGAGGGACTGATATTGTTGAATACTCTTGTGGGGAGAATGTGATGATGGAGTACGGACAATGCTTGTAAGGTTTTCTGTGAAGCAGAATAGAGAAATGGCTATCAGTGGAGGGAGGTAAAGGATGAAGGTAGAGTGAAATGAGGATTAATTATGTTACTGACTATTATTTTTCTTTTAGTATAGAAGATACTAGAACATATTTGTGACTTTAGTGGGAATGACCTAGTAGAAAGAAAGAGATCTGTGGTCCAAGAAGTAGAGGAAAAACAACTAACAGTGGTGAGAAGGGCAAGTGTGGACAGGCTCAAGGACAGCAGTGAGAGGGTTGCTCCTTAAAGACAGGAGGGAGAGCTCCACCATTTTCAAAGGAAGAAAGACAAACAGTGCAGAGGCAGAGACATTTGACATTTTGGTAAAAATCAAATTAGGGGCATCTCACAGATTCTATGTTTTGGATGAAGTTCAAGATTCATCTCTGACCTGCATCTGTGTGGAGAAGGGGGATGGGCAGTTTGAGGAAAGTAGGGAGGTCTGGGCAGTTGTCTAAGAGAGGAGAAAAGCACACTTTTGGAGGAAATGTAATCGGATTGCCAGGCAGCAATGAGTGTCCACCTTGTCCACCTGGGGCTGTGATCACGACTCTTACATGAAACTGGTCGGCCCAAATGCAGATGTCTTTAGCCAGCTGCTCAAATGCTTGTCATGGAAAAGGTGAGTGTTTAGGTTTAGCCAGATTGGGGTTTTGCCAGGCAAAAAAAAGGGAAGAAGTGAAGCAAGGGAGTTTAGAGTATTTGTGAAATTCCACGGACAAGGAGACAAGGGAGGACAGGACACCAAGGTAGGGAGAAAGTGATCAGTTAATGGATTAGAAGCCTCATGAGGACAAAGAAATGTTGCAATAAGGATGCTGGGGTAGGTGAGTGGAAAGGCTAGGAGGCTGTAGTTAAAGAGAACAAGACTCAAAGTTGATATTTCAGAGGTGATACTGCAGTTTCCAGTTATTGCAGGTCCATGATATAACCATGTGTCTGGGCAACTGAGGAGTGGGGGAAAACTCATCAGAGAGGTCAAGCTCAAGTATTGAGAAGCCAGTTATTGCTAAGGATAATGGGATCTTTTTTACTTTTGTTATTAAAAAAATTCCAACCAAGAATCAGATCAGTATAGCCCTTTTAGTGCTACCTTTATTTGCTGCTATGGGGAGCCTGCTCTCCCCTTTCTACATTTTGCTTCCAAATATTTGTTAGCACTCCCTTTATCAGTATATGCCACTATCCTACACATGAAGGATATCAACAACAAAGCAACATTTTAATCAATGGCCTAGATTTCTTTATAAATTGTATAATTTCAAAATTGTTATACCAAATCCTGTTTTAAAAAAACACGTTTTTATTGATTTGAGAGAGAGGAAGCAAGAGGGAGAGAGAGACATTGATGAGAGAGAAACATCAATCAGCTGTCTCCTGCACGCCCCCTACTGGGGATCGAGCCCACAATCCAGGCATGTGCCCTGACAGGGAATTGAATGGGTGACCTCTTGGTGCATGGGTTGATGTTCAACCACTGAGAAACACTGGCCAGGCATACCAAATCATTTTATAATAAAGATGATCACAGTATATTTAAGTAGCAGTTGTCCTTAAGTAGGATACTATATGAAAACTGAAAAAGTCCACGTTTTCAGGCCTGTAAGAATAGCAGAGCCAAGTCTAGGGAAATGAAAGTTTAAGAAGGACTTGAAATGACAAAGAAAATAAGTTGTTTTCATTCTATGCTTCTTCTTTTCTTGTCTTCCCTTTGTAGAGTAACTTTTCTAGTCCATGTTCTTGGGATGATTGGTTGTTGCAATTCCTCATTTTAATTTTATATATTAAAACAATTACATCAGATTTTTCTAGATTGTAAACTCTGTAAGGGCAAAGATTTTCTTTGGTCCACTCCTGCATTCCCTCAAATCTAGGACAGTACCTGGCATGTGATAGGTACATAATCAATAGTTGTTGAATGAATCAATGAATGCTTATTGTAGGAAACTAGAAAATACATGAAAAAATACCTCCTCAACAAACTAGAAGTTTCCTTTGATCCTACCAAACAGACAACCCATTAGTATTTTAGTAAATGTCCTACTAGAGACATAAATGCATATCTATGTAAAGGTATAAAAAATGTCTGAGAATGATAAGCACCAAATTCAGCATCGTGGTTGTCTCCTTGGGGTGGGGGGAGGAAAGAGGATGTAGTTGAGGAAGAATATGCAGACAGTTTCAACTGCACTGGCAACCGCTTATTTCTTAAGCTAGATACATAGGTGTTTATTATATTACAGTCTTTTTGCATCTGTGAATTACTTTGTATTATATTGAAAAATCTTTCCAGATATATATATTTTTTTACCTTAAAAAAAAATCCTCACCAGAGGATATGTTTATTAATTTTTTTTAGAGCGAGAGAAAGAGAGAGAGAAGCATCTGTGTGAGAGAGAAGACAAAGAAACATTGATCGGTTGTCTCATGTAAGCATCCTGACTGGGGATAGAACGTGCAAACTAGGTATGTGCCCTGGTCGGGAATCGAACTCCCAACTTTTTGGTGTACAGAACAACACTCCAACCAACTGAGCCATCAGGCCAGGGCCAGGTTATTTTTATGTCACATGCATGCTTAATTTTACAAAAGTGGGAGCGTGCATACTTACTATTTCGAATTCTGCTTTTCCTCACTTTTTTAGTACTTTACATAACTCCATGTAAATGTATTTTTATACATCATATCAATTTTGTTTCATTGACTAATAGTATATAAAGTATAATTTATTTAACTACTTCTTTATTTTGAGGCATTCATTCAAAAAATAATTTTGAGCACCTGTGGGCCAGGATACTTAGGTTGCTGCCACACTTTTCTTTTACTGTTATAAAGGGCTTGATTTTTTTCTCACTTTAAGTAAATGGAATATGGGAAGGTAATATGTACTAAGTTGTGCTGACTATGTAAGAAGTATTTAACCAAGGAAAAGAACACATCTTTTTCATCTTCCAACCCTCATGTACATGGATAGGTTAAGATTTCTTCATACCAGATGACATTCATGCACCCAGAACTGCTTGGGTTAGCTTAGTGGGGAAGTTGATCTCCTAGTGGAGAGCCCAGGGGAGTTATCTTGCCTGCAACTTTATATAAATGTCCTTTTTTCTTAGTTTGAATCTAATTTCCATTCCCCAACAAGAAAGGAGAAAGGGCACTGCCAGCATAGCTCAACAGTTGAGCATGACCTATGATCCAGGAGATCGAGGTTCAATTCCTGGTCTGGGCACATACCTGGGTTGAGGGCTCGATTTCCCGCAGGGGTCGTGCAGGAGGCAGCGGATCAATGACTCTCTCTCATCATTGATGTTTCTCTCTCTCTCTCTCTCTCTCTCTCCCCCCCTTCCTCTCTCTGAAATCAATAAAGAAATATTAAAAAAAAAAAAGAAAGAAAGAAAGGAGAAAGGCAGAGCAACTATGACTGTGTCCTCAGAACACAGAGAAACACTGATTTCAGATGAAACTGCCTACTTGCAAAACTGGCAGTATAAGTCTTTGGACTGAGTTGATGAAGTTTTAATCAATTGACTTGATTTCTTTTTCCCAATCATGTAATCAGTGATTGATTGAATTACTGATCAGTTCAATCAATTCATTAAATCCGTTGATTTGTGTAGCTACAATTATTATCCCAGCAGATATGAATAATGTTCTGCATCTTAGCATAGCCACAGGCCCCATGCACAGTAAAGGAAAACTCAGGACAAACCGAAAATTGAGGATCTCTGTGAATAGGCCTTTCTTTGTACAGTAGAAATATACCATAACTTTTGTTTGTGAATTCAGTCACTTTGGATGTACTTTCAGGCATGGCGTATGCTTTACTAGCTGCAGTTCCTGTTGGATATGGTCTCTACTCTGCTTTTTTCCCTATCCTGACATACTTTATCTTCGGAACATCAAGACACATCTCAGTTGGTAATTATAAACATATACTACAATTTGTATTTTTCATGTGTAATGTTTTTGTGCCATAGTATGTGTATTTTGCTTCCATATCTTTGTTAATGTTTTCCAGGGAAATGGGGCTTAAGTGCTTTATTTGCTTTTTCTATTCAATGATGCAAATGATTCTTCTTAGCTTTCAAAAGACTATCCTTTAGTTTGCTTTATACTTAACTATTTTTTCATGAAGAGGAGGAATTGAAAAATGATTAAAATTATAGCCTACATTCAAATTGTAGCATGGTTTGGTTTTTAAAAAAGTAGTAAGTTTGACTCCATATTTAGAAAGTATTCTCAGAGACTAAGAAAAAAAATCTTCCAGAGGTCTTTGAACCTACTGTTTTACCAGGTTAACTTAGCATTTACTAAATTATGTTCATCAAATATATATTCATTATTTCATTAAAGAGCATACTTATTTTAAGTCACTAAGATTGGAAGACTGGCAGAATCGTGCCAAAACAATTTAGAAACTAAGCTTGGCTTTCCTTCTTGGCATGGCTCAAAATAGATTTATTTCCTGCAGTTCCTAAAATTTGAATTCTCTTTTGCTAGAATGTTCTAGTAAATAAATGTTTTAATGCTACTTTTTGACTTTGATGTTTACACTTGAGATAATTTTGTGCCTACATCCATCCACTGACTAAACATGTTTACCTGGACAATCCTCTCTAAAGAGAGAACTGTTCACTATATCCCAACCCATATCCTTGTCCTTAGTTGTATTTCCCCCAGTATCTGGCATATTACTTTGTCTGTGAAAGGAGGTAAGGAAGAGATTATATTTATTGAACTTCCTCACCCGGGAAAATATCAATATCAATACGCTTGATGAGGTAAGGAACATAGAGGCTGATCTTCTCTTTGGTATTCTATCCATTTAGACACTCCAGGTTGCTGGATTTTGGTACTGAGCCCTCCCAGTTGTTAAAGCCTTCCATGATTAGAGGGTATTGATCATAATCAATAAACATGTCAGCAGTGAATGAAGCAGTTAGTTACTGGAAGAAAAGGAGTACTTTTTAAACATAAAATCTTACAGACTGGCATTTGATATGAAAAAAAAAAATTATCTTGGAAAGAGAAAAAGGCAAACTATATACTCCCTTTACTGTTTCTTTATTCTAATTTGAAGTCTGTGGTACTGATCAAGGCACTCAGCTCCACAGAGTAGGACATTGGATGCTCCAGGAAATGAGTTTCTATGGAATAAAAGTAAGATGGAACAAGTAAGGACTCAGCTTGTATGCTGCCTCTGTCAGGAAGCTTTTCCTGACAACTTGTCCCCCAGTTTCCGTGAAGATCATGCAAAGATAGGTTAGACACCCTTTCTGTATACTCAGAAAGCATCCTAAATGCTGTATTGTAATTACCTACCTACATGTCTCTCTTGCTCATTTCTGGATTCTGAATGCCTTGAAACATTTGCATTTTAGCTTCTTTTATGAACAAATAGTATATATTTTCCCAATCACAGCTAATTACCTCACACATCTTTCTAATCTTATGTAGACATGACTTGTGGAACCTAACACTTGTGGTTAATAATTATTAATTGATAGAGACTTTTTCCCCCAGGACCTTTCCCAGTGGTCAGTTTAATGGTGGGATCTGTTGTTCTGAGCCTGGCCCCAGATGAAAACTTTCTCATACCCAGCAACAATGGGACTATATCAAATGCTACCATGATAGACAACTCGGCTAGAGATGCAGCAAGAATATTGATTGCAAGCACCCTTACTCTTTTGGTTGGAATCATACAGGTAATGGACTTACAAGTAAAATATAGATTGGCATGATTTTTATTTGAATTAACTAGCTGTTGCTGACCTAAAAATAAAAGGCCCTTCAAAGTGAGAGGCAACAGTCATTTACTGAAATCAATAGGAATAGCTGTTTCAAAAGCATTGATTCAGGCAGAAGCCCAAATAATGTTCCAATTAGGAGACAAAGGCAATGGGTATTTATGAGAAAGGGAAGGGGAACAATTATATCAATAGAAGAAAGGCATTTTCTATTGGTGCAGATAACATAACATAATGGTGTTAATTCTAAACAATGTTTTTAATTTTCAGTCCAGTAGTCAGAATAACTGATTTCTTGTTATCTTTGCAAAAGGTCACAGAAATAAGCTGCATTATTTTTTTGCTTTTCTTAGCACATATTTAGAAATACTTCAAGATTAATATTACCCATGTTTTTCACATTTGGAGGGGAGAGGTGGGGCATTAAGAAATTCAGATTTGTTTCTTACAAGTATTTTTGTTATAGGCAGGTTACCAGAGTTTAAATTGGTGTTAAGTTTAATTTGTTAATAGTTTAAGAGAGTAGAGTCTTCTCCCAGGTAAACATTTAATTTGTCCTTCCTTTTCTTGTTCTAGTTGGTGTTTGGGGGTTTGCAGATTGGATTCATAGTGAGGTACTTAGCTGATCCTTTGATTGGTGGATTCACAACAGCTGCTGCCTTTCAAGTATTGGTCTCACAGCTAAAGATCATCCTCAATGTTTCAACCAAAAACTATAATGGAATTCTCTCCATTATCTATGTAAGTGTTTCTTGTTACTCTAGGGATAGCTCACTAAGAACAATGTGTTCTTTTCCTCTTTAACCTGAATCTGTAGAGCCTATGCTCCTCCATGCAGTACTTGGGAGTCACTGAAAGCATTCTTCTCTGAAAAAAGCAACAGAGTCAGGAGAAGTATTGAAGCAGGCAGATTTTGCAAATCATTATTCTCAATTGACCAAAATGGTTTTAGAAGTGTCACCACACTTAACAACACTAATGAAAACAAAGTGGTATAGTGAAGCTAGGACTGCTCTGGGGAGCAACAGGCTTGAGTTCCAGTCTCAGCTCTGCCTCCAACAAGCTAAGTGACCTCTTACACATAATGTAGGACAATGGCTAAAAGCTCAGGTTTGGAGCAGGATGACTTGGATTCAAATTCTGACTCTACTATTTACTAGTCATATGAGCAAATCACCATGCTTCAGTTTCTTTCTCTACAAAATGGAGTTGGTAATAGTATCTACCAACTAAGTTAAATAAGGATAGGTCGGGAGCACTTTGGCCCAGATGCTGGCACAGAACAAGTACTCATAAAAGTAGTCATTTTGAAATTATTATTTTGCATCTTAAGGCTTCTTCTCTTTTTTATTTGTAAAATGAAACAATTGGACATGTATCTGTAAAGCCCTTTTTAACTCTGAGAGTCCACAAAATGTATAATGTAAATGTCTCAGCAATTATAGACGAAAACGAACATTAGATTCAGAGATGATTCAACATGCAAAAGAGATGCAAAAGAAGGATGTATATCACACTAATTATATTGAAAAGTTCTTGGATCTAAATATATATTTTATGTAAAGACGTGTTATTGATGCTTGAAAAGTGATGATAATAGTAACATGATGTCAGCCTGGCTGGGGGGGGGGGGGGGGGATACTTT